CTTTAGCTTCCTGTATTGTTATTATTGGAGAGTTTTTGTCCTACAACTTGTTTCAAAAGACTTTATAACATGTCACAAACCGTCTGAGCAGATGATATTTTGTACCGATTTCCCCAACATTACAGTACATGCTCCTCCTGGATGCAGAGCATTTTCAAAAATACTAGGGCAACTACAACCTTTTCATCAGAAAGTCACAGTGTTCAGGCTAAAACTAGAATGTTTTACAAGTTCCTTAATGGCTACAGGATGCAAAGACTTAATCCAACTACAGTGGTATGTACATACAGTGTATTCTATCATTTACAGTGACACATATTCTACTCAGCTAATTTCAGTCAAACTCAGTCTTTCTTACACTCACTTTATTACAGCATCAGACTTGATTAGGGTGAATTAGCGATCGGCAGCCCTCATCTAGCAAAGGGTGAAGCCTTTGTCACCGAAGGGCAGATCGATCTTCCGTTAGCTACTGACAAAGCAGCCAGTTAGCTCCTCCGCACTGCCACACTGAGGCACACAAAGCCCATGATACACAGAGATATACAAAAACTAGATTCACACTTGATGATGAATTATGAGCTGCTGCTGAAGCCGTTTGTCAGTGACAAAGATAAACATGTTTATCATTTGCTCCCTCTGTGCAAAGGTCACGAGGAGCATTCATTCTATTGATGTTCAGTATCACCACAAATGGTGCTCATAAAATGCTACCGTGATGATGAGCCTGCCTGTTCCTGGGAGTGCAAAGGACTTTGTTTCACTTCTAATGAGGTCTGAACGTTCTCAGGCCAGAATATCCAGCACATGCAGTTACTGTAGTGTAGCAATGTATCAGAGGAAACATGCACCATGCCACCATATCACTACTAATAAGGCTCAACAATAGACCTGATTTCTGTTATCATGAATCACTTGACAGAGATAAATTAATGTTTAAAATACTCCACAGAGCAGCTGCTGAATTCTGAATGCAGCTGTCAGTCTGTCAGCGCCCTGTATGGCGCTACAGTTGGTCTACGTCTGTCGGGACCCACCGGGCTGCCGGCTATTTTAAAATGCATCATGTTTCTGTTGTGTGTGTGTGTGTGTGCTGTCTCTATATTGGGGTGTGACGATATGTCTGGCAGTAAGATGAGAAGCTGCTTTCTCTGTCTGCAGAACACAACCCAGTCTGGCCACCTAACTACGATCATGCAGCCACTAGTTCTGCAGGTATTTGGTCATAAACCAAATTCAAAGTTTGATCGGAGGATGGATAAAAGGCAAGAGGAGCAATTTTTATAGTGCATCCTCTGGGGACCATTAATGTTGGCACAACAATTCCACATTAATTGATCCAACATTTGTTTTAATGAAAAAACAAACTGGTACAGGTGCTAGATCAGCAGAATTTATCCTCTAGGGACCACGAATGTCGATAAAATAATTTATAGCAATTAAAAAATCCAGTCTGTTGATACGGCCCCTAGCACGGCAACAACTGAAATGATCTTGCCATGTAAATGATTTGTATGTTTTTATAAGTTGATAGTCAGCTGCACTGCTGTGGCTATTAGAGATATTTTTACTTTTAATTACCTTGAACAGCTCACGGTTAACTCTGGAACCTGTGACACCAAATGATACACATATAAGGCACTTATAATAACCACTGGGAATATATAAGGCATGCTTTTATTAGTGAGTGGCAGCTTATATTTAGAACAATTCCAACTGGATGCGAAAGCAGTGTAACGTGCCTGCTGAGGAGAGGCTGGCGCTCCTTCACCCCTCCTCTCCTCTCCCCTGTCTGTCACTCTATTAAGCCGAGCTATTTGCACAGACTGTTCCATTAAACAGTTGGACAGTAGAGCGCATGAGGCCAGAGAGGGAGAGAGAGAGAGAGAACAAAAAGGAAGACGACAGGCAGCAGCAGAGAGTTTGCAGGATAATAATACAACACCCACCGATCCTGACAGAACAATTTCCTCTCTCTCTCTCTTCACTGTCTTTCTGTCTCTCTCCCTCGCACACATCGCTGTATGATGAGGCTGTCACGTAGGGACACCAGCTGATCCATCGCTCTCTCTGTCTGTCTGTCTGTCTGTGTCTCCTTCCTCCATTAAACTTTTATTACTCCTCCTCTTGCTTTCTGTCTCTCCCAGGCACTCAGTTCCTGTTCAGTCTAATTCAGAAAATTATAATCCATAAATTTATAGGAGAACATAATGTGGGGGAACTGGTATTATCACCTCTGGTCAGTGGTCATGGCTCATTTGCCTTTTTCTTCTTCTTTTAATCCCTTTCTGAATGATGAACACCGATCCGCCACATCCCCACAAACTGATGACTATTACATTAAGAAGACGACCGTGTACAGTATTAAGGAGACAGTCGTAATATATTCATCGGTCTGGGGTCAGAAGTTACACTCATTTATAATGAAACTACATCACCTACAAATATTTGTGAATCCTCTCTGGATGCCTTAAACATTATGTAGTGTTGTATCTTTTGATTTTGAAGTGCACATCGGTAATTTGTATTTAGTCATTTTGACACATTTTGATGTGAAAAAAGGTTTTGGAAAACAGGAAACCTAAAGGAATATGGTGACAGAAACAAATCTGATCTTTCTTTTACTCTTTGTATTTAACTGAGTGCTTGTACAATATTATTTGTGTAGCTACACTTAAATTTACCCAGGAGGGCATTAAAATTTAATCAACAATCGGTTAAATCAGACACTAATCTGATGTGATTTAATCTAAGAGCTGATGCGGGTCTACTCCACCACCGGATTTTCTTCAGTAATTGTGTTAATCACCATATTGAACCAAATGGGATTAAACAATGCTACAGTGCTGTCTGGGTAAGACATACCACTGTCATTCATAAAAAAAGTGACAATGTTCTTGTAGGCTCCTGAAGGTGTATTTTATCCTCTAATGTTTTGTGCCTATAATGTTGGAGTGCCATTACTGAACTGGATGGAGTGAAAATGGATTCAGATTATCTGTCTAGTAGCAGCGGGGACATGGGACCAGCAGTCTTCATGATGATTAGATCTGTGCCGAATTTTCC